CCTATCCGTGGCACGTCATAAAGAGGTCTCGGTACTCCCACTGGCCAATGTCCCATCCACACACGCGTAACAGAATTCTTAAATAAATCATAAATCAGTTTCCACTTGGTAAACACCGTGAAATCCAGTTCACACGCGCTGTTTCGTAAAAGAACAGCGTCGGGCCTTCCAGTCATCGATAGAAACCATTCCATCGCAAATATCTCGCCAACCGTCGAGTGTTCGATCCCGTACAGATATACAGGCTGCCCCATTGTATGTGTGACTAGATTCTACACATGAAAACAATAAAAAATGTTCACATAAATTCATATATTCGATCTTGTTTTCGAGTTATGGCGGGTTTCTACTTTGACACACTGTATTTGCTCACTTTTAGAATAAATGATCGAAATGAGATCTTTGCATCTCTCTTGGATCTCTCTTACTCTCACTTGATTATGTTTTCTCTCTGTCACCTACTTCAGTAATCTCTTGTTTCTTAATTCGTTACATACATTGTTCGGTCGTTCGCTGCCTAAACACACTTTGTCACGCTCACTTCCAAACATGAACACTACAAACATGAAACTACAACATGAAACTACACTGAAACATGGCCACGACACACATTGTTTTTCCATCGTGTCACTCTCATCCTTCCATACAAATAACGTTCACTTTCATACCTTCTCAACACACACAATCTACGACAACCACATTACCACAATTAATAGGCACTTTGTATATTCCAAATACAATTCGTTATAGCTCGAAAACAAGGTCGAATAGGACGTGTGTTTATATAAACTTTTTTTTATATAATGACGGTACACGGAACACCTTGACCTCTCCGTGTCAGCCAAAGGCAGACGAATCGAATAATTGGCGAATGAAATTTTCACGATAACCGACAATCCGCACGATATTTTCGTTGCAAAATTTCCTGTAAAATTATCGCGACGGTTTTCGTACGAAAGATGCCGGCTCATGGCGCAGCCACAGGTGTGCAAACCGTTCCGAAGTTTCGTTTCTGCGGTTTAAACTGATAGCTCGGGGATGATCGGGCACATCGTTGAACCGGTGCAATTAATTTTGTCATTTTTCTCGAGGAAAGCTGCACTTCTGTGAATAGCAATTGGATTTTGTCCGTGTTTATTATTTTTCTGCAAAATGTTCATAGAAAACGTGGTTTGTACTTAACCCCTTGCCATGCAATGACGAGTCTGACTCGTTGCAAGTTCTCGAGAACATGTTTCATAATCATGAGGCCTCTTATCTATTAAAATCAACAGATTTTTACATTCACGAGGTATTCATAAAACAAATCTATTATTTCTATTAAATAGTACACGTTTGAAAAATTATTTAAAATTGAATCTTACGACAAGGGGTTAGCTATGGAAGAGAAGGATGGAATAAAATTATTATAACGATTGTAATAGCAATATTACGATTTTTTAATATCGAGGTGTTCAAAATAACGATCGAAACGAGCATCGAATTGCAGATTTCGTAGGCGTTAAGATGACTTTTGGCGTAGGAAAATGATCCTGAAAAGTCGAGGGCTTTTTGGCCATTCGAGCAGCCTCGTTATGATACCAATTGGTTCGTTTAATCGACGTTCCATTGTAGGACTGTCGACGTATCAATCACGGCAATGCGTAACCGATTGATCCTCCATCTGCTTCCATTGTTCGCGATACACGAATTTCTCGCCGTAACCGATCGATCTCTGCGAGCGTTCGCACGATGACTTTGTGACTTATTAATTAGGCGTGGTTTTAACCGTCTCCCTTTTTTCTTTAACGAGTCTTCCACGATTTAAAATTTCAAACAGGCGTCGAGGGATTTATTTCGCGAGACTTCGATCGATCCTCCTTTTCTTGACGCTTGTATTTTACAAAATTAATCGAAGTCGAAGTTGGCACTCGTGAATAAACGACGTCTATTCGTGGTCGAATTCCTTACGATAATTTTAATAACTTACGTATGAATGTCCTTCGTCCTTGTTTTTTTATTTCTTAAAATTTTAAGAAGGTATTTTACTTTAGATTTTTTTGGAATTTTTTGGGGGGAAAACGGTAAAATATTTTTGTATCAAGTTCAAATAGATATATTTAGGTCTATGTTCGAGGAATATCCACAATTTTTTTCGTAGAAAAATATTCAACGTTTTAGAAGTTACGGTAATCTTAGTAAAGGAAAATAATTTGGAGGTTATTATTTTGCGAATAGCAGGGTTTCGATAGAAATAATAAGTTAATAATATGTCGTATGTAATATTTAATCGCGTTAGTACGACGTCGGTTAGACAACTTGCCCTAACAACATTATAGCAAGTTCGTGCAACAGTCCATTGGCACTTGGGACCACAGCTTCCTGATTTGTTGAAGTAGATTAAATCATAATAATGGCTTAGCTATTAGTAGACTAGTTATGCTCGTGTAGATGTATATATTCCCGGAAAACTGATTCTACAAAGGGTTCCGGATAATACATCGTCCATTTTGTATATTTTACATAACAATGTTGAATCGAAGCAATATTGCAATATTATGAAAATATTTTCGTGTTTTTTTGGCCTCTAGAATCTCCCATTAAAATTTTCACCAGGGTTGGTTGAACACCCTGTATAAAAAGGAAAGTGAAATTTAATGAGTGATTTTATCAAAATAACCTTAGTTCGTATTTAAAAGTTTCCATACAGCACTGAACATTTTGTTTACAAGTTCGTTAAACAGGCTAGTTATTTATGGCGAATGGATTTTATAACAAAGAGGTTGAAACTGTTAAGTTTCCACCGATTTCTTTTCGGTTTTCATGGAAGAGCATCCTGCATAAAGGTTTCCAAACTATTAACGCTGCGACTGCAATATTCTGACGGTCGATTGACATTCTTGGATAAGTGTCCCTGACGAGCACGTATCACACAACGACGAATAGCACTATGATTTGGATGTCGTTGATCTATATGTCTTTCACGATTCCACCGTGTTTGCAATTTCCACGGTATTCTCCTAAAATCAAAATTATGTCAATGACGTCACTCGAAGTGTAATCTGCCATTTTAATAATCTTATCCCCTGGTGACCTGTACAATTCGATGGAACTTTGCACAAACGTTCGTTAGACCTAAGAATTTAGCCACAATTGCATTGTATCACGAAAAAATCACTTTTTCTTTACGAAAATTAACCCTTCTTTCTTTTAGGGAAATTATGAATTTTTTTTATAAACTCGTTATATACAGAGTGTTTAAAACGAAGGATCCAAGTTGTGCAAGGTTGATATTACTCATTGAGGGGAGTAAAAATTACTTGATCAACGTGAGTCTTAAAATAAACTCTGTAAAAATATAAAAATTTGTTTTCACTTTTGTAAAAGATGATCGATGAGTTTCCCATCCATTTCAATACAGGACTGACATTGATCGACGTACATTTTTAAATACTCGTTTCGTGTCTTCTATTGTAACATATGGCACTTTCTATTCTTTGCTGCAAGTCCATCAATTTATACATTGTTGATCCAGAGTCTTCAAGAAACATTCAATTAATTAGTTTCACTTTCACTTTTGCAGTTTCTAATTTTCAAAATTTATTTCTGACTGAATGAATGGTCTAATATATGTAACAATACTAATTTGTAAACATTCATACAACCAGAAGTACCATCTTAGCATACTAAAATAAAAATATTTCTTGAACTAATAATCCTGAATCGTATATAACTTGATATTTTTTATACATCGAGTAATATATTTAAAAATTTATGATGCCATTTAGGGAATTAAAATTGACTTCTATAGGCTCTTCCAGATTATTTAATTCCACACTCTGGATCAGTATGATCGCGATTATTATCTGAACCCAAAATAACAAAAAACAGAATTTTTCTTATTGTTTGTACAGCTCGTTAAATACCACAAACAAGAAAATCGACACTCAAAATTCAAATTTCCACCATTTTGTAAATTTTCACTATATTCTTCTCATTTAGATTCATAATCATGATCGTACTAATACAAAACCCTCGTAATTTTTCCATTTCAAACAACCAGAATGATCAGAACCGTCTCACCTGATAGAACACTTTAGTTTTAAAAGCAATCTCGTTCAATGACATATAATTCAGTCAATTTTGATTACATTCGCTCGAAAAAAATTATCAACGTTCCCAAAGCATAAATAAATATGTAAGCAAAGTATTAAAATTTATAAGCTAATACTTTTTTAGAAAAAAAAATCTTTGAAAGGGCCAAAAACATGAGACTCCAGATCTAGTCTGCTCGTTCAATGACATATAATTCAGTCAATTTTTATTACATTCGCTCGAAAAAAATTATGAGCATTCACAAAGCATAAATAAATATGTAAGCAAAGTATTAAAATTTATAAGCTAATAGTTTTTCTTAGAAAAAAAAAAATATGTGGAAGGACCAAAAACATGAGATTCCAGATCTGGTCTGCTCGTTCAGTGACATATAATTCAGTCAATTTTGATTACATTCGTTCGAAAAAAATTATGAACGTTCCCAAAGAATAAATAAATATGTACGCAAAGTGTTAAAATTTATAAAATTGTACTTTTTTCATAAAAAAAAATCTCTGAAGGGGCCAAAAAAATGAGACTCCAGATCTAGTGTGCTCGTTCGATGACATATAATTCAGTCAATTTTTATTACATTCGCTCGAAAAAAATTATGAGCATTCCTAAAGCATAAGTAAATATGTACGCAAAGTATTAAAATTTATAAACTTGTACTTTTTTTTATAAAAAAAATCTTTGAAAGGGCCAAAAAAATGAGATATCAGAATGAGGGCTGAATCTGGCCAGGAAAGTAGTCGATTTAAAATACGCAGCATCGATGGGACGCGCGATTAGAGCACGTGGTGGTTTTTGCGCGACGAAGGAGCCTAGTGGACGTAGCTTAAGAGGCCGATCTGCGCAAGCACAGGTACAAGTTCGAGGGTATAAAGAGGAGAAGCCCGAGCCCGCTGCGCGCACTTTGTGCTTCATCTGTCCGTCATTCACGTCGCACGTTCGCTGTTTCGCGGTGGTTTGCTCGTTTTTTCATTTCCACCTGGGTTCCCGATCGCTGCACAGGGAACTATTCGCTGCCCTGCCACCCTTTACGCTCCGTGGACTCAGCCCAGGCTCGCTCGACCCACGCAGGTAGGTGCGAAGAATTTTTAATAATTTTTTATTTCTTTTCCTTTTTTTTTATTCGATGGGGGAATAATGTTCACTCGATATATTCGCGGCGTTGAAATTTATCTCTGAGCCGAAGTGACGGGAGCTGACACGGTTTCTGATATCGAGCCTCGAATGGATCAGTGCAAGTGCGATCACAGTGATCAGATTGGTTCTGATAAATTTTTCTTGGCTTCTGGCGATGTCGAAACGATCGGTGAAAGTGAATTGGCGATTTTTTAAATATCTGTCAAAATGAATATCTTTATCTATTTAGCTCAGAATTAATAGAGAAACGTTTCAAACCTGTGGTGATTCGATATTCTCTCTTGTTTAATTATTTCACACGTTTCGTTGGAAAGGAACAATTTTCGCGTAACCATTTTCTCGTACCGTGCGAGAATGATAATTTTAAAAAGTGACCGTTTGGACTACGAATGAAAAAACCAGAAAGGTTTCACTCTTTGTACGGGAATTTATTTAGGCGATTGAGATCAATTTTTAAACTACGTTTATATAATTTATTTCAATTCGATGAAATTCTATGCGAGAGAATAGTATGTTAAAGGAATTCCAGTCGTTTCTTAAAGTCCTTTCTGAACAAGTAGATTCGATAAGCCAGTTACGTTCGACCACATTCCATTTAATTTAAGTGTGCAATTGGTTAATTGTAGTTTGCATCATTAAGTCGAGAAATCGTGTATGTTACACGATTGTCGTCTTTATCAATATTATTTCTTAAAGCTCGAATACAGAATCCATCGTACAACCCAGTTATTTAAATATAATTCGTATTTTATCTTGTAATTCTTTAACAGACAGGGCAAAATATACTATTATATTTTATTTGTGTCGAATGCATTCTGAATCTTTTAATTTATTTTTAAAAATATAAAAGCAAACGGTACACCAGACATTATAATATTTTAATTTTGTGTTATTTATGACAACTTTCGACATATGAAAAGACTATACGAATATTTTAAATTTCTTGTTTCAAACACGAATATAAAAATAAATAAAAGAAATGTGAAAGAAATGTATTTTCTCACAGTTTCAAGAAATAATAAAAAATAAATAAATATATTTATCGAGTCACTGAATAAATAGACGTTCAGATACAAATTTTGTCTAACTAAATAGACGTAGACTAAAATGGATTAAAATATATGCTAAACAATTTATTGCAATTTAAAATTTTTTATAAAATAGAACAAGCTATACAGAATTTCAATATTAAATGTTCTCCATTTCAATATATTCTTTTTTAACGTAACTTGTAATTGTAAATAAAACTATTTGCAAATAATTATAATAATATTAACGTTAATAAAAGGGTTCGTTGCATTACAGAAAATCTTATTTAAAGTTCCGCGAAGTTTCTCCAGTAATTCGTGCTATCGGAAATACGATTGCGAGAAGCAGAAAATGATGGACCATCTACTTCTGTTGTTTCTTCGAGCCTTCAATTACAGAGTACTCTGAGTTCGATAGTTGTCTTAAGGTGGCAGGGGTGGAGGTGTGGGGGAAACTTAACGTGTTTGAAAATTCCGCATACTTGGGCGTATCGGGAACTTTTACAGGAATACCATCGCGTAAAAGCAGCCCGATCTCTTCACAGTGATTTTTTCTTTTTTTCTTTACCCTGACCAACGAGAACTTTGATCGATCGAGAGTATCGCACTAAACGGACCGTTAATTCTCCCAATTTTCAGATTTAATTTCCGAAACTTCACCGCACCTGTGCAGTCGTTTAACTTTTGTTATCGTTTCGCGGAATTGAAAAATCGCGCTCGCCGCGGGTGCCGTTCCGTTTAATTCCGGAAACTTTCCCGGTCGCCGTGCAGCTTATTAATTTTAATACACGATCTTAAATCGGGACGTTGTATTTTGTTATGGGAAATGTCTCAACGCGGGGCTCAACGTTTCCATCAATTATTTAAACCCCGTTGGAGATTTGTTCCTGTTTGTTTCGGTGCTCGTGCGAAAATTGGGGCACGGAATGTTATAATTTAGACTGCGGATGTTTATGCATTTATGGGAAATTTCAATTTTCAAAAAACTACAGAATTTAGTTAATATGCAAGAATATAAGAAATACTTAAAGCAAGGTACGAATTATTATGTCTAGGGGTTGAGACAACCCTCTACGAAGCTCCAATTTCATTAATTTTATTAATAAAAATATGAATTTGCATGATGATCCGCAGTCTGGTTATAATAATCAACGTAACGTTATTTAGTAGTTGGTTAATTTGTTTTTAGCAGGATCAACCCACTAAGATTAAAGCGAAGAATTGTTTTATCCGTATGAAGAGAAATATATTTGATAAATGGTGGTTGAATTACATTTTCGAGTGTTGTAATTTACCAAAGTGAAGAATGTGAAATGAATATTAAATCTTTCAATCGTAAAGCGTAACATTTTTAATGTAATACTGTATTATGTTCTTATCGCGTTCGCTGTCACAGAATTAGATTTTCTATTTGCGTATTCTTAGTCGTTATGCATCCGCGAGACTTTTATTTTGCAAACAGAGGATATTTCTATTGCATTTGGTAATAGAACACCGTTCCATACGCGGATAATAACGGACCGAGAACAATGATGTACGTGTTCCCACAATGGAAGTTATTAAACGATGATTGTCAATAAATATCAAACAGTGATATTCCGTTATGAAGTCTCTATTATCCCATTATGTCGTGGTACTGAAATAAAAGGACGCAGTTTTCTGCGACATCTATTGGAGAGGAAAGCTGTTGAGACAGCTAAAGTGTTATCACTATTTGCAACAAAACAATCATCATTTTTTCTTATTAAAACACGAGCCTGGCGTACAATCAGCTTTTAATCGAATTAGATGGTTATACGATGAAATTGATATTCGCAAGGAAACCGTTGCTCGGATGAAAATGGATTCCAATTATTTTTTAAACGAACGAGATAAAGATTGTAACCAAACGCTGGATGTGAAATAAAATTTTAATTATTCGCTGACTCCGTAGTTAGTAAACATTATCTCGTTTATTTGTGAAATAAAAATGATAGAGTATTTCGAATACGTGATCCTGTAACTATTTTTAAACGTGCTTAAATATGTAACGAGAGTACGCAGTTTTTTTTGCGACACTAAACAGAAAAGGAAGATACCGCGGTAGAAAACTAAAGTATCGTCATTAATTTTAATAAAACCGTAATCATAGTCTTCATTGAAATATTGGCCCAGGTGCTATTATGCTTTTAACGAAATTATATAGCCCCCATGAAAGTCGTGCAATTATGGAATAGAAGCTCAGCAACTTATAATTATTCAGAAATTGGATGATCGATTGGAACATCTGTACAAATTGCAATCGAAAAACGATTATCTGCAGTTTTGCAAGAAATTTAATCGGGAAATGAATTTCAATTAGAATTTAATATAATAATTTAAAATCAAATTTTAATTTTATTGAAAACCCAGTAGCTTGGCAAATAAGTGATTGTCTCGGACAATTATGTAAATATAATTGCAAGAATTAGTTGTCACATAATCGACCAAGAAGCTACATCGAAGTTCCAAATATGAATTTTCGAAAAAAATTGAATCATTTCGGTGCTTTAGCGATTGTTCACGACTTTAATACAATTATAACAATTAATTTTTAAACGAGTTAAGTGAACGATTACAACGATACAGTAATTAATAAATAATTCAATAATTTCTCGAGGTATATATTTCTAAATGAAAAACATGATCAAATAAATCAAGCGATTGTTCGTAAGTTTTGCAAAAAAACAATAGCCGACAGAAAAGCGATTAAAATATAAATGCATCACATGCCACGAACATTTAACTCTCTGTTGAATGAATTCTTTTTATTTTTCGAGAAAGAGCTTATTTAATTACACGCATATTCATGAATTAATTAATGTTCGAGCCGAACAATATGTAGTTAAATCTGCAGAGTTATTACATGCTGTCATGGAAGAGCATCGAGCGAGAATCCTGTAAAATTTAACTAAATTTTTACGGTGATTATCTCCATTATGCTTTATTATTGCGTAACATATTTCTCAGTCGCTCGAAATAGAATTTTTGACAAATTATCCAATCCTTGCGACCTTTCTTTTGATAGCCACATCGCGTACATATAAACACATATATTTATCTCGCAACATGAAAAATGACTATGGATCACCGATTGTATCTTTGAAATACTATCTCGCGTGCGGAGATTAACATCTGTATTTAAATGGAGTACTAAGTTAATGGTCTTGCGAAAATCTACCATATTTCATATCCATATGCATCGAGGGGTGTGTACGAATTCGAAAATAATTCTATTTCAAGGTTTTAATTATTTAAAAGGGTTTCTCAAAATCCCTATCTTCCCTTCGAATGCTTTTTTTACAAAATTTTTTTCTTTTTGTAATCTGTCTCCGAAGTCGATCTTTACGGCTAGTGATTTACTCCCCCCTCCTCGTTATAAGCCGCCATTTTGATACGAACGTTGTGACATCGCGTACCTTAAATTTTAAGACGGGCCACCCCAACAAAAACACACAATTTCGTTTTATTTATTCAAAGCGAGTAAAAAATTCGCGATAAATCGGGGAATCGATTCTTCGTTTGAAAATAGATCGAAAATGTAGAATAAAGTTATTTGGTACGATGCTTCGTTTACGAGAAAACTTTGAAAAATTATGGAGTACGTTTCCCTTCAAATGTCTGACAATTATCGATCATTTCTACTTGCATTAGTAAACGTTAATATCAATAAATGTTAATGTGTAATGTGATATGTACATGTTTTTTGTCGAGCTCAGTGTTTAGTTACTAGCTGGAAACAGGTAAAACCAATAATACCTTCGTTAATATTCAAAGAAGACAGAATAAGTGAAAATATCGAATAGTGATCAGACGCGTTAGTCGTATTAATTTATTAAATTGATTTTCTCGAAAACGAAGCGTCCTATGGAAAACATTTATTCTACA